GCTGCTTTCATTCATACTAACTGTGCAGGTGAAAGTGATGGATGTACCTTGTGGATGCAGACCTCCTTCTTGACATTTTCAGCACACTCTTTTGCCTGCGAGGTATCGATGACCTTCACTGCTACCGCCTCTTCAGTCTGTCTGTTCACCAGCAGCCTCACTCTGAGACCAAGAACACAAAGAGGACAAACCGGTTAGATCAAAAAGAGAAAAGAGAACACAGAGGTGAAGAGAAGTGAGAGGAAGTCTGAATGGAAACAGGATGTACAAAGAGCTAAAGTCTTCCTAAAGTGTTTCTAGATATAATTTTCAAGTAATTTAAACTTTGTTAAACTTTTCAATAAAATCAGAAGGTCAGGTCACGTGTCAAAGTCCGTCTGTTTTAGTTGTTTTTATTTTATTTATTTTTTTCCCCTTCTATATGTTACTACATCACTGTTGTGCATTTTATTTATTTTTGTTGCATTTTAGATTCTTAAGTACTGTGTGCAGCATGCAATGTTGAAAATGTGCTATATAAATAAACTTGACTTTGACCTCTAGAAAACAAGAAAAACAAACAAACAGAAATATTTAAGATCATTTTAAACCCACTCAAAGAGTCAATCTAAAGTTAAAAGGTTCTTTTTGTGCAGTAGTTTTCTTCTATAACAAACTTTGAGCATTGGTATCTCTGGACACCTCATTTAATGGTGGCATAATGCCATAATTTAAGAATGATAGAAGCAGTCATTGCTACCCTGACTGTTTGATTTGTTTTCTAACAATTCCATTGCAAAAACCATGGAATTGTTATTGTAAAAATGGTTAAACTTTCAAATCAACACTACATTAAACATGTTTTCGCATATGTAAGGTCTCATTTTTACCTACGTTTTGATACCTAGTTCATCTACCTTTTTTTCAAAGCTAACTGTGACTGCGATGGAGTCAGGTGTCTCCTGTGAGTGATGTTTTTGGATTATCAGATGAACATTTCTAGTGCATACATGCCTGTCATGATCCCATGAAACAAGGAAAAAAAATCCTTGTCCGATGGCTAGAAGAGGACAGCTATTAAAGGCGATAAGCTGATGATAAACAATGATAAGGAATCTTTCATACTCTCCGTAGGCTCCTTCTCCCAGAGTTTGAACAACGTCCCAGTCCTGCACAAAAGGCACCGCCATGCTAGAGACAGAAACACACGCATTCATCACTTTCGCTTTCTAATATTTACTTAAGTGTTCGTTATTTTCATAACATGGGTCCTATTTCTTCTAACAAGTGTCTGTTAAGCCTTTACCAGTTTACAAAACTGTTAACTTTGACAGCACTTTGACAGAGTTCTGTCAAATGTCATGATGCTCAAAAGAAAACCGCTAAGAAAACTAAAATACGAAAATATGAAAAAATAACCTACCTGCTCAGCCTTTTCACACAGCAGCGACTGCCACATGTAGCTATCCTTAAAGCTCAGACGCACGTCTTCATCCTGCTGCACTGACTTCTAAAGATTTTTCACAAATTTGGCGCGTTGTTGTCTCATTGGCGATAACTTCCGCATTTCCGCCTTGTCTTCTTCTACGCCTCTCTTCTTCTTCTTCTTCTTCTTCTTTTTCTTCTTCTTTGAGTTTAGCCGGTCAGACACATATTGCTGCCACCTACTGTTCACCTACTGTTATCCAAGTCTTATTCGAATTAAACATGCCAGATTTACAATTCATTATTCAACATTATTTAAAGCCTGAATAATTGCCACAAAATTTTTAAATGGAGAGTTTATTGAACCAGATTTGTTTATAAAGTTATTTAGATATTTCCCCCCTTATAGTGGTTGTAATTTGCGTCATATTTGCTACATCTGGTCTTTAAAAAATGCTTTAAAAAGCATTGCAAAATTTATTTATACTTTAAAACGGGTTACAAATCACACTGATGATGTAGAAGTCTCAAAAATTCAAAAAAACTG